GGCTTGATCCACGGGTACCCGGACAGCAAGGATAACGACCCCGACTGGAGATTTTGGAAGAAAATTCCGGATATGTACGAATATTGGTGTGGAAATCAACAAGAATATCAAATCTCCACGAATCTCGGATCTCCACCGTCCAGAGCACGAAAGTAACCAACTATTGCAAACAATATCCAGGAACACCAGGTTTGACAAAGAGATCAGACACGCTTCACTTAGAGCAAACATATCGAAATGTCCGAGATAGCCGCTTGGAATGGAAGTACGTGATATCATATGCTCAAATGTTGCCCGTAGTGATCTAAAGCCTGATGTGGCGCATTCCATTGAAGGATCCATTCCAACATAAAGATCTAACATAGAGATCCGTCCACTTCACATGTCCAAGCTTGTGGCAGGTTTCCAACCGCTGGACGCGCTAGGCTAGCGACGACCTTGCTTGTTGAAGTTTTTCTCGCGAGTCGTTCACGATTAATCTTTTAATTTCAAAGTTTGTATTGTGTCATTGGGGCTTTACGACGCACTCAGCTGCTGAGGCTATATGGCGTCGCCTGCCTCTCACCCTGGCGGGAAGGACGGGCACCGAGGGGAATCGAACTCTGTACCACTGATTTCCCAGACGCGCAGTGGTTAACGCAGACGCGTTAACCACTGGTAGTAGTGCAGTGGTTAACGCAGACGCGTTAACCACTACACTACCGGCACCTACTTAAAGTTTGTATTCACCAGCTTCTCACTCAACATTTACATTACGGCATCAGAACAAAAAGTCAAAGAAATAATCAACCAAAACTAATACAAACTAGCAGATAGCCCAAATTCAAGACATCGCAAAAATCAAAGCAGCTGTCTTCGCCTCATCAGGTAACAGGAGCCATCCGAGTCAGAAATATTTTGCATCTCTTCGCGATAATACAGTTACTTGGAGCCAAAGCGAAAGATTTCAAAGACTTCGACCCTGCATACTCCATCGATGAATTTCACAGCCCGGAAAACATCGTATAATTGTGTCCGTTGTGTTGAGCGTCATGTCGTAAAATGTGCACCCTCTCACTTGCGAGTAGCGCAGAAACGTTGTGGCATCTTTCAAAATTTGTGTCGTGGGATTGGATTGACGGCTGTTTAAAGTCTCATCCAGCTCATCGTCTTCATATAAGGGAAATCCTACCATGTCTCCAGCAGCAAGGGTATCTTTCCTGAAGTTATAACAATGAATGCAATAATTCAAAGCTAGTTACAGCACAACTTATAAGATTTTCGAAAACTGACTTGTGTGGTTTGGTTAGCAATGGGGAAATGTTTTCATAAACATAAACATGGCAATGAAACAGCCACGTGACTAGGGGTAGCTGTGCGGTCGACAGCAGTAGAATGCTGCACCAGCTCTAACAGCCACGTGACTAGGGGTAGCTGTGCGGACGACAGCAGTAGAATGTTGCACCAGCTCTAACAGCCACGTGACTAGGGGTAGCTGTGCGGACTACAGCAGTAGAATGTTGACTAGAGGTAGCTGTGCGAATGACAGCAGTAGAATGTTAACTAGGGATAGCTGTGCGGACGACAGCAGTAGAATGTTGCACTAGCTCTTTAACATTCGATCGGAGGCGCAGAAATGTCCAATCTATACAAGACGACATTGTAATAGCACCATAAACCATGACTTGACAAATCAAGTTTTTTCTCACGAAATTATGAAATTCCACATTACTCGGCGTTTGAAGTACAATCAACAATCTGTACAAACATGTCGACGTATGGGATCAAACCAGAACTCAGCTTCTCGTGACCGTGCTTTGCCTTCAGCAGTGTATATTTAGTTGGGTACTTAATCAAGATTTTTCATGCGGCATGGCTATACCATCACAGAAGGAACGATCCTGAAGGTCAACGATTTTTCCAAACATACAAGATTTAAGGCAATAATGCAAATGAGAAATGAATGGCGCAAGACAACGGCTACGCGGGTCATATATAAGTGAGGAACGTGCATAGATATCCATATTATTATGGCACGTGTCGCAAGAGAAAAACCAAGCAGCAGTTCGCTTTCTTTAAATTTTGCGATATGTGACAAAAAATGCTGCACTGTTTTTAAAACAGCTCTAAGCTGGCGATATTGATGGTCCTGCGCCAACATCCATTGAAGGGGATGTATTCAGATTATCCGCAGTGACAGTGATGACACAAGCTGGTCATTGGTGTAGCCAGTAGACTTTCTCATTAGTTAGTTAATTTTAATTTCTGACCAGTTACTGAACACTGAATATACATATGGCTACTAATATACTGATACGTAGCTCCTGGTGCATCCTGATACACAAAAGGTTGCTGAAACTAACCAGAAATATGCTTTCTTTTCTTCGTGCACTCATGTCTGAGCTACTGGACCTTTTCAGGCCACGTTCTACGGGCATGGGGGGGGGGGGGATTGATCTGGCTGGTGCGGTAGTGACCACAATTGTTTCGCAACAACTGTTGAAACAAAGGCCTATCGGGCGTCATGTGACGATGGTTCTGTATTTTGGCAGGACTAATCGAAACACGACAACGTATGCCGCGTGAAAGCAGGCAGCTGCTGGCAAGGTCGCTGCTGCTCGCCATACAAAGGGCTGCACGTCTGCATGAGGAGGCTGCGACGGCAACACATATCAACTTCGCTGCCCGCCGCGCCACGGACCTTCGATAGCACGATAAAGTGACCGATGCTCCGGCCGAACTCACCGGTTTCAGACAGAAAGAACTGTTCGTAGCGCGTGACCTACAAACCACGTACACATGAGTGCACAACAGCACCACCGAGCTGTCCGTCAGCCGCCCCGCCACGTGAGTTGGTCGGTGCTCATTCTTGAACCGCCATTGCGAGCGTGGAACGGACTGTCCACGACAGTCAGATGCTCGACGAGACTAATCATTTTGAGTACCAGGCTGACTGAAAATCGACGACCGATGTGCCGCACCGTCACGCCGTTTTATGAAGCTCTTATTTCATGTGGTACGTTCAACTGTGTATGCGTCGCTTAGCAATGAAAACGTCCACCATCATTGTAATGCTATTACCAATACCAGTGGGGTGCTGGTCCCGAATATGAGCCCATGTTGAAGGGAAAATAGAAATATTGGAACGCAAAGTAATGGACTGGCGCCGCTGCCAAAGGCCGGAGCAATGGAGCCGCCACATATTACGTCACTCATGGACGGCGGGGATGGGGGTGAGAAGGAACGTAACCGAAACGCAGCAAGGTGGAGACGTTACGCTCAGGTGTGGTAGAAAATCATGCCAGTTTTTATTAGCATTCAATAGTTTTTTATTAGCAAAAGTTTAAAGTCGCTAGCTATTGGCTACCTCTCATGACAAGCAGCACACTCGCCTTTGTTGCACGCATCTAGCTCAATCAGGTGCTAAAAGAACGACTCATTTTGGGAGTATTACGCTCTACACAGCGTAACGAAGGAGAAGGGGGTCTCCATGAGTAACGGGTGCGCCACCACGGTAGGTTGCTTGAAAAATTACCGAAAATGCCTAAAGTAATTCACGAACGGCCCCATACACATCAGATATTACTCAATTTTCTGTTCTTTACTGCAAAGTTATCCTACAGACAGACAGATTTCTTTAAATGGAATCCTGGTCTTCATAAGAAAGCAAGCCAAAAGCTATGTGACTGCGGTGATCTCAATTGCTATATTTTTACATTGTTACTGTACCAGTGGCTCGCATTGTTTCATTGCACCATACTCTTTAGCGCATCTTTTACATTTATTGCAATGTGGGTGATTACGTTCACAAACGCAGCAAGCTCATCAGGAGGCATGAATCTAAACGTGGAAATTTCTGCTTAGTAATGTCGTTCGTGTAGCACGCTACTTCGAGCTCCGGATGCTACACAGTTCAGACTGACTCAGCAGAACGTGCGGTTTTTGCGGTACCTCGCCGTCGCTCAGGGAGTCCCCGAAATTCCCCGGCGATCGCGGCCTCCCACTGAACGTCTCATAACCTTGGGCGGCGAGGATTGTGGAGCGATGCCGCGATCTGCAGGGCGACCCGCCGCCGCCGCCGACGCTGACGTCGCCACCACCGCCGGCCAGAACACAGCAGACCGCAGCGCGTGGCACAGAGAGCGGGCCGTTATCCGCTGACTGCAGTCTGTCTGAACCGCAGACTCCAGGCTGGCGAGGGACCCGGCGCAAAGGCGCCTGCTGCTCTGCCGGGCTGGCCCGTGCGCTTCCGTGCCACATCTTCTCTAAGCCCGCCGAATGCCACTCACTTTACATCATCGGCCCCACCATTTGGTCGTGATCGTTTTCGCTTCAAGGCACCATTTAAGCCAAGTCTCTGTTGTCGAGTAAAGAACTAGAACTCAAAAATAGTCGGTAGTCGGTACTCAAGTAAAGAACGCTTCACCTTATTAGCATTCCACTACAGCACAACATCATCGAGCAGCCGTGACAGATGGTTGACCTTGATGACGCCATTGTAACTCTCTAAGGGAACCTTAGACAACGCTGCTTCGATTATGGCGGCTGGTCAGTGGTATATCACTGGCGGTTACACACTGCGAGCAACGGCTCTGTTCGCCGCCGACAGATTCAATGACAGCAATGCGAGCACAGCGTTTGAGCCTCGTCACACGACGGGCCTTGTTCCGGAAGCATGATTTGTCTGAAAAACATTGCAAGATACGGCAACCGTCCAGACATGGACATCGTTCATCTTGCGCCTTCCGCCTGATTCCAACATCTGCTGTCCGTCAGGTCCGTTTACATTAGAGGTGTCATATCGGACTTCGTTATCGCCTCGTTTCCTTAGGGGAGTCACAAAATAATTTGTGGGTGACACACTGTGTCGTTTGCGATTCGGATGCGGGTGCGAACCGCGCTCGACACAGAAGCTGTCTGTCGTTCGAATCCTCAGCCGTCTCTAGTCTGCCCGTCATCCGCGTGGCGGCGCCACGGGCGCGGACTTCCATATAAAACTGTTGTCCGGCCGGCGGGCGGCAGTCACTGGTCGCGTTTCACCATGGTGCAGTGGACAGTGGTGTTCGTGGCCGTGGCCGCCGTGACCGGTGAGTGACGGCCGGGCGCCGCCAGGTCGGGCGCGGCACGCCCCCGGGCGGCCGGCGTCCGCTTGCGACAGGCGGCCGCCGCCGGCGCCGCGCCGACCGTATGCACTGGGCCACGCCGCCCCACCCCGCCCGCACCCAGATCACCGTCACGTCTCAAAGGATTGCACGGGCCCTACCATGGGTGTTGAAATACTAATGGGATAGGCCCCTGCCCGTTAATGGCATTTGGTCACGGCTTCGTCGCGTTCATGGCTGGCCTCGTCCAATTGTTTCCGTCCAACTTGAATTCTAAGTGGCGTCTTACCACAACCAAGTTAAACAAACCGGCTACTCTACCCGAAACCTTACGTAAGCCATCGGATTGGATTATCGTAATCTCCACAAGGTAGGCCTGCAGTTGGCAATGAGCGACACTAGCAGTGTCTTTCCTGGCTGGTGACTGCTTTGTGACCCCGTCGACCAGCAGGGTTGGCAGTAAGCAGCACACGTGCCCAAGCTGATTGGCTATGGGCTGATGAGCGTCAGCGGTCCGCTGCTGTCCGCTGTCCGTCCAACAGCCGCCTGTCTCGCCGCCCCGTGTTGGCTTTATGCTCGTGCTCGCCGGCTGGCGTCCGGCCTCACTGCCCCAGTAACACACAGCCGAGATAACTGTAACCGGCCGCGGCCGACGGGCGCGCACACGGCACAGCCGCGCGCCGTCGCCGGCTCCAGGCCTCCCATCATGCGCGGCCGATGGCGCCGCTCGGGTGCCGACCACTGCGGCCGCCGTGTCCGGCCAGCCGAACCCGGTGCTGTCGGCGGGAGTCAGGCGGCGCGCGGGGAGAGCCGGGCGGCCCGGCCGTGGCCCGGTCACCGCGCCCGGGTCACGGGCCGACCGCGCACCGCCGCGCCGCGGCGGATCGTGCGCTGGCCGCCGTATCATCATCGGCGTCAGCTGGCCGCGCCGCCTCGCCGGCGCCCGATCCACCGCGTAACGAGCACACGGGTCACGGGCCGCAGCGCTGGCAGCGGCCACCGGGCCAGCGGCTGTCGTGCTAACGGAGCCTAGCCCGCCGGCGGCGCCAGACAGCGGCCAGGCCAGCAGACGTCACCGGTCAGCCGGTAATCAGGGGATGAGCAGGGCCTGCGTCGTCTTTTCATGTCATGTCCATTGGCGTGACAAGAAATTCCGCAAAGAAGGGGAGACTTGGTCAATCGGATCCCTCGTACCGAGAGCCTTGACGGTCGCCGCACGTACCCGTTCAACACCTCCATCTCCTGGCGGTGGCGCAAGTGGACGCCTGCATTCACTGTCGAGAACGCTTTGAACATTTCCAACGGACTAAAGTGGGCCATTCAGACTGTTGGATGCAAACGGCGGTAGAAAAGTGTTTCGGGCTTGACAGCGTTACGTGTCTTTCTAAGTGCCTCGTCTCACGACGCAGTCGTGACATTGCTGGCGTTTCCAGCTCCCGTTCATCCGTCTAAGCCTGTTCGAGCTTGGCGCCGAGTTCACGTTGGGTAGATATGAGCATATGCATATCAGTGCTGTCAGGACAACTATCAGTGTATTTTGGCCCGTGCGCCCCCATGGTCGGCGCTATCACACCTGAGCGAAGAGCGCATGGTTCCGTTGTCTCCCCTCGCCTCACACCGTGTTTGCTCTGGCGCCGAGCACTGGGTCACTGCGCTCCACCTCTCGCGATACGGCATCCATCCGGCTCAGTTGGGCCTAGTGATGGTTTCAGGGTCCCTCTGAAGTGCACACCACCCTGCGCTCAGGGTGAGGCGGTCCCCAGCCCGATCGCTCGCTGCAGGTGGGTGAGCGTCGGCTCCGCCCGAGATCCCACTCGATGGTGACCCCGCTCCTGTTCGCAGCCGTCCGTCTGCGGGTCATCTGTCTCTCAGACCGGAACGGGATGACGCCAGCGATCAGCGGTGGCCTGGTCCCGACCATGACACGGGGTGAACAGCCGCGCCCCGTTCCCATCACATCATCACATCATCAGCCGGCGCCGATTGCGGCCGACGGCAAGGGCTCTTGCGGGTCGTCGCGACGTAACGCCCCACAAGCACGTGTTGGGTTTCACTAGCGCAAAGGTGTCACGGAAGACGAGTTTTCGAGAGCAGGCGTTGCGGGTGTGAGCATCTCAGACAGCTAGCTTTGAAAATAGATCACGGCGAGGTGTCATATCAACTGTGGGGCCCGTACACGCTACCGCCCAGCGATGGGCCGCGTTCCACGCGGTGCAAAGCGATCTCCGTCGTCTCCTTGCTTTCTACGGTCGTCTGGGTTATCCTGTTAAAACGCCCCGGGGTGCCGCGACTTTCACTGGCGAGGAGGTCAAGAGGTCGCTCTGCCGTCTCGGGCGTTCGACGTTTGATACTGGCAGCTGTCAGTAGAGTCCGGTAGAGTCTCTTGGGAAGCCCGCTTCACTCACCGACGGACATCGCTTTGGTGACGTCACTGCGGTCGTCTTCCATTTCAGTCAAGCGGCGTGGACGCAAGTAAAGTGTACGCATTTCATTGTAGCACTTCGTTTGACAGTTCGTGCCACCATGCTGGGAAGTCCCCTGCGGATGGCATAGGTAGCGCATTTTTTTGCGCAAAGTATTCCGCGTTTTCGTCCCTGGCCGTCCAGCACACTGCCTCAGGCTGAACGTGGCGAGTGTCACAGCTGTACATGGCACTGGAGGGCCCCGCACTATTGCTTCCTTGGAAATGGGTTTCGCCGTCTGAGCGTGTTTCTGTGTTGCATGACCTTCCCGCATTGACACGAAGCTATGCCCACATTTGTGATATACATGGAATCGCTTCACAACACCGGTGCTCTTGAATGATATCCTGGGCGGGGAAGCCTTGATAATTAGGCAGCTGGGGTAGGACATGCCATAGCTTGATGAAAAGTGGCTTCATCCAATGAACGCGAGAGCTAGGGGCTAGGCCTCCTCTCTACAAATTATACTACTATGCTTCCTATTGGCACCGATATGACGGTGCGTGAGTGCCTCTGCCGCACTGCGCTGGCTGTCCGAGCAGGCAAACGTCTCAGCTGACAGACAACATCTCAGCGGACTTGGCTGAAGCCGGTGGGCCTGGCTGAGACGGGCCGACTCAAGCGGCTGGTTGCAGTGGTTTAGCAGGTATTTGTCTCAGCCGTGTGCACACGCCCAGCCGTCATAACCACGCCCCAGCACACCCAGGCAGCATACGCTGTTTCGCTGACTGAGCTGGAGCCCAGGTAATAGTGTGGTCACTGTTTCGTCACACCACTAGCTAGCTAGCGCAGACACTGTCCAGGCAGCCACATATAGCTTGGAGCTGTTTTTCAGCAACCTGATACTAGGTGCCTTGATGCAGTCACTCCAGAAAAAAGCTCATACGCCAGTCGGCAGATGCTGGTGTCGCACGCTGAGAGCTCAGGCTTCCGCCGCTGTGTCCCACTGACACTCTGGCACTCTGACACTGACACTTCGGCCACTGTCCCGAGCGGTGGCACGCCGTGGCGGCGGCGAGGGCGGGCCGGGCGCTGCCGAGGCGCCCCTCCCGCACTGTGGGCCATCCGTTTCGGTGGCTGGCTCCGACGCGCCCCGAGTAACGGGCCGCCGGATGGCCGACGGGAGGCGCCGCTGTCGTCACAGCCGCCCTCCGAGGCGACCCGCCGCCCCACCTGCTGACCCCTGAGCATGGTCTGTGACATCGCAGGGTATTTGGCGGCATTTAGCAACGGTCTGCCGCCTGATTCCGACACTTGCTGTGCCGTGCATACCCAGCTGTCCAGTGATGGGAGAAGCGGCGTTGCCGCCGCCTCCTAACGGTCACGGTCGCGGTACCACGAGCAGTCAAGCGTGCAGCGCGCAGACACTTCCTTACGAGAAGTTATCGTCTCAATCACGACTACATCCCCGCGTCGTTACCATCCGGGTGTAACTCTGTGGTTTATGAATTGCTGATATGACTGGCCGCTTTATGAAGCCTACTGCTGCCGTCCGACGCTTTTTGTCGATACAGGTTTTGTGTGACACTGCGAATGCTGCAAAGAAACACTTTTTGTTAGCTACTTCACATGCAAATTCATACATTTACATGTAAAACGATTGCCTCAGATCGAGTCCATGGGGGGCAGGGGGGGGGGGGGGGGCGGAGCAGCGGAATGCAACTATGGTCGTGAATGCGCTCAAAAGCGGTCCTGTGGTGGCTGCCGTTTCCCGGTCATTTGACAGAGTCCAAAACCTAGCACTCTTTTGAGTTGTACTGTTACTTATGAAATCGTCCATCTCAGCTACAGAATTGTATGCGTTTAATAGGCGTAACGATTAAAACCTACGTTTAAATAGCACATGACCTTGCTGTCGCCATAAACGCTGCGGTAGGTCTGAGCCCTGGTCAACGTCTCACGGAGCAGCCAATGTTTTAGTAGTGGCTTAAGTCGCGACGCTGGCTGTCTCTTTGCATGCCAGTTTACTGTTTTGGTCAGGCATCTTAGTGAGATAGAACCATATCGTTACTTCGACATGCATTTCGCGTTTCGGTGACACGGCAGCTCCACGTGATCGTCACGTGCCACGTGCAGTTCCAGTTGTTCCGGCTGGTCATCATGTGCCGTTCTTGGCCATGAAGCTGCCGTGTCTGGCCATAATTTTCAATTTTTCACTAGTTTGTTGATTTTTGGCTTCCGGCCTAAGGAAATGGACTTACGGAAACGCGCTCTAGTCCATAATGCATTTGCCTGCGATGTTCACGAGGACATGATTTGCGTGCGTATGGAAATTTGGCTGAATCGCCAAATTTAGAAAACGGCAACGAGAGCTCATTTTTTCTCAATGATTGTTCTCTAAACTATATATTTTGTTATGGCCATTGCCTCACCCAATGCACGACCGCCTCAGAGATTTGTCATCATAGGAGGGCACGTCACGAGCGCGCTCCCCTAGCCGTGAGATAGCTTATATCATATCGTGATATTTATCGGTCACTGGTCAGAACACGGGAGCGGGGCATTTGGACGAGGGACACGTGGGAGCTGTGGTACTCGCCATGTTTTGTACAAAATCAACATAAATCTTTAACTGATGTATGGAAAGAACTGCCATCAAAAATATGTCTTGACGCACTATTTTGTGGGAACGCTGTTATGCTTCTGGTAGGGTGACTTTTCTTAGTTGACCATCTCAACGCCTCCGCCCACACCTGCATAAGCATTTGCCGCATCTTAACACAGCATTATGTAACGCGGCGCACTTGGAAGTGCATCGTCATCACTGCTGGCGCCGCTCCACTCTCTAACGAAATGCACGGGCGCAGCGGGAGAATGGACAGCACGAGGGTGGCTGTCGTAACTGGCAGTGACCCGCGCCTCTTCTGCAGCCGGCACCCCGACACGCGCGTCGCCCTCCGCCGCAGCGCGCTTTCATAGGCCTTTCGTGACTCCTGCTTCAGCTTTGCCTCAAATAGAAAGCTTGGCGGTGACGAGCAGGCCGGAGATCTCGCCATGCGGGAGTGCAGGATTGCACACCTTACTTGTGTTTGCACGGACGAGCTGTCGTCTCAGGGCGCGAAGGGTCAGCTCCACACGCTGCGGGTGGAGGTCCAGGCAACGCTCCCTAACCTGACCTACCAGACATGAGACCTCTGGTCAAATCCGGTCCGAGGTCTGGCCTGAAACCTGATCAAGTCTGGTCCGAGGGCAGGCCTGAGGTCTATTTAGGTCGGGTCTGAGGTCTGGTCAGATGGTGTGAGGTCAGACCTGATGTCTGGTCACGTCGGGTCTGAGTTCTAGTCAGACAGGGTCTGTCTTGTCTGTCTAGGTTTGGTAGGGACATCTGGTTCGGCGCGGGTTTTGGCCAGCACCGCCCGCCCTCAGGTCGGGTATTGCACATGTTCCCCGGACATTTCAGATTGTGCTCGAGCTTGTGCTTTCGACGCGCAACGCTCGTGATACGAAGAACAGCAGACGTCTTCGAAACCGAAATAGCCGATACGATACGTCGGATGCATCCCGGAACACGATTCCAGCGCAGGACGTCCACCTTTACAGCTTGCCAGCTGGGGGGAAACGGTGGCCGACAGCATGCGATAGGAGAACCCGAACATGCTTCAAATTTAGCGAGTGTGTCATTCAATGGTATTCAGTCTTATTCCGGTGCTGTCATAACAGCATGTGGGGTCTACAGGCTTTAGAAGCGCATAGTGCGAAGGATGCTATAAAACATCTCGTAATGTAAAAAATGAACGTAAACGTTTTCGCAGTTGTCATCTGAAGTAACCCTGAAAACCTTCATCAAGAGGTAAAACTGAGTTTTGAAATTTTTCTATACTTCCGCTGTAAGGCCCCTTAAGGTCTGTCACCCGAGGGAGCGCCAAATTCCTGTCACATCCATCGGACGGCCCCCGCTGTTGACCGCTAGATTGGCGGCCCTGACATCACACCGCCGTTTTCCGGAGACCTGCGCTGTGAGTCGTCTCTTCTGTGTCGGCAGGTGTGGTCTCGTCTCAGCAGTACTTCGGCAAGAAGCTCGGCTCGCTGAAGTCTCTCGAGCACGGCGTGCGCGGGGATGTGTACGCCGTCGACTCCCGGACGCTCCATATCCGCAACTTCAACTACGACGGACAGGGACCCGGTAAGAGCAGCCGCGCGGCCGCCGCCCAGTGACTGGGCCGCTAGGTCAGACGCTGACACGGCCCTGGTCATGGCGGGGTCAAATCGTCATCATCGCCTGTGGTGAGCCTGCCGTCCTAGTGGGCGTATATCCGCCTTTAAGATGTTTTTATACCCCACCGCACCTACTGGATCGATGACCCTAACTCGCAATGAGCAGCGCGGATTGCTCGCAAAATGTTGGAAAATTGCTGGGCATTAGCACCTAAAATAGGGATAACTGGAATGCAAATTCTAATAACATGTAAATCATAGAAGAGGAGTGTCAAGCTGTGGCTAGAATCTCCACTGCCGTGGCGATTTAGCGCTGGGTCAGTGTCATGTGACGCACGACCGCTGTCACGGCCAGCAAGTTCAGATGAGGGCCGCGGCTCTACAACAGCTGTCTGTACAGCCGGATGCGACTGCCGCCGTCGCGGGCTCTCCGCATGTGCGTCAGAATTCACCCTGGCTTTGCCTTATGGTGGGAATACTGAGAACATTACAACACTGGAGTATGTACACATCGACGAAAGCCGGTCGTAGTCATAGGACGGTACGGACGCCGGTGTCGTTATGCAAATGAAGTCAAGCTGTGCAAGAGCACTGTTGCCTTGGAGCCCCTGAGGGCGTCGTTTCTCCGACTTCCCATGCCGGGTGCCAAGAATGGCCAGTTTTCAGGCAATACCGGCCAATTAGCTTGGGCGTCGTAGGCATGCAACGGCGCAGTTCTCATTTAGGAATTCAACCAGTTAACGCATGGTCAGCAGTCTGTTGACTTAGCAAGTAATGCACTAAATGGCAAGTGATAGGCTCAACACCAATCACCTGCGATGCCGCATTGCATGCCATCATTAACGGCATAAGGAAGTTCACAAATAAAAAGATATGAGACGAGAACCTCTTAATGCCTGTGCCAGTTGGAATCGTGGCAAGGGGAAAGAGCTTATATTGCGCGGCATTATCGCTCCGCTCACTTAATTTATTAATTATCCACTGTTTTGTGATCATAATTTTATTTAAATTCGGCCATAGTGGTTTGTTTTTGCGCTCTCCTTTCGTTTTCAACATCTACTCATTTTGTTTTAACTGCGACTCCTGTTGCATTTTTTTCCTGTAATACATAACAACGTTTTTATCATCCCCCGAGCAAAATCGATCTTTGTACGTGTACAAAACGGACTGGTGGCGGCACCCCACCCTGTCCAGGTCTTCTCCGCGGACGCGCGCCGCCTCCCGCCTCACTTTTTACGTAATCAGCGAGGCGTGAAGTCCGCAGAGCCACGGTCCACAACTTACAGCACCACAGTTTGTTATAGCTAATAGTGATGCACAGTTCGTGGTACGAAAGCCATGGTACTGTGTGGCCCACAGTATCACCATGCACGTTAGCGTGCAGTGACCGATTCCTCAGCCCGAGGCTGCACAGTCGTCGATGGAAACACGGATGACCGACATAACAACAGCCGTGCTATTTGTCTTCAAAATATTTGAACATCTTCCCATTGAAGCAACCTTACTCCCGTAGCCTAGTTACGTCACGTCTTCTCCGTATTTCCCGCCTCGTGGCCACCGGCTACATTACGGCACTATCCTAGAGCTCCCGGCCGCGAGTTCGGCGTCGGTGGCGTGTCGGTCGGCCCGGTGACGTCACGTGTGACCCCGCCGGTGGCCTCATACCCGGCTTGATGGACACGGCCATGCCATGGCCTCCGTCGACGAGACCGCAGCGACCGCGCGTCCTCTCGGTACGCTGTGACTAATCGCACATTGAACGATTCGATACGGTATATGGATTAAAGTCGGTGGCAATCATGCCGCGCCATTTGTCACCAATCGCCGATGGACCGTGACGCTCCTCTCCCGCGTAGCGCAGGCGACCGCAGCAGCTGTCAGAGATCACCGGCTCCCCCCCCCCCCCCCACCTGCTAGCGCCTCCAGGTGTTCAGGTGCCGCATGCGTGCGACTCTTGAATGAGCTCTCGGAGAACCCGTTGAATTATGACGTACGAAATCCTTGTGCGACACTGATTGCTTTTGAGGTGTAGGGAGCACTGTCTCTCAATGCCTCTGAATCTTCAGAATAGTCCATCGGAGATGGCAAAGTAATGATGCATCGGTGGGCGTGCTATCCTTCTTTCTCATGGGTCTCAGATATTTCCACCTCCGCTGCTCCGTATGCATATCCCTTGGCGGCGGCGTGTGAGCCGCCTGATAATCCCGCGTCGGGATGTGTCACGGACCCCACCAAGGAGGGCAAACACTTATTGACCTGGTGCTGGTCCAAGCTGCGAACACGTGCCCGCTTTAGAAAGCTCAGCGTCAGTGGTGGTCGGCGCTGGCCGCTGGCGGGCGCCGACGCCGTCACATCCGGACCGGTCGACGACCCGGCCGCCAGCCGACTGACTTTCGCCGGCGCTCGTTTCAGATGCCTTTTTCTATGTGGGCAGCGGAAGTCGGCCATCCAACGCCGGCTACAAGGTGCCCGACGAGAACGGAAGGTAGGGGTCTCGGGCCGACAGTCGGGCCGGCGCCGGCGCCGGCGGGTTGCCGACCAGCTGGCGGCGCATCTGTCAGCAGTAGCAGCCCGCACTGCTGTTAGCTAGACTGCGTCACACTGCTTACAAGCAGATTTTCGAGCGGATTGGTTAAGTGCCAACGCATGTCTTTAACACTAGTTCTAAGCAGTAAATAAAAATTTCAGTGAACATGATGAACAAGCAAGGAACGTTGGGTTCGGAGACCTTAAATCTTAGGTGCGGGGCTGAATCAATTTTGAATGTACGGCCCCGGCGTTCCTGATGTCCTCCCACTTATGAGGTCCAGATCGCACGACACGTCGGCACAACGGCATGCACCCTGTGTTTTTCGCATTTTGTCTTGAGCCGTTCTAGCGGATATATGGCTTCATCTGTGTTAATTAGGACCCGGGCCGCTATTTATCTAAAGGTCAGCTCATTACCACCTAACAAAGAAAAGGCTCATGCTGCTCTCATAACCTACTTACGACGAGGTGTGCGTGGCTAGTCCAACACATTTTCGGCTTAGTCCTTATGTCTCACTGAAGACAAACCGGCGACATGTGTCACAAATCAAAGAAGATCAGGCACAAGGATTCGGTAAGGTTCCAGCGAAATGAGCTGGACCACATACGCAGACACCATTTGGTCATCATAACCATTTCAGTTATCATAACCATTGTCATAGCCATACTAGGTTTAAAAACGAGGTCAGCTCAAACTCCGAGAAAAGAAAACATAGATGTAAGCGTATTTGTCCATTGCATTATTATGTCACTAAGTGATATGGTCAGGTGTGCTGTTTGTGGAGCTCACGTTGGAGGTATAGAGATGTGGCTCTGTGGCATATTCTAACATTGCGATAGGCTTTAGATTTGAAGCTGCCTAGAGATGCCACATAAGATGCAGCTTGCTCACGGATGATACTAAGCACGAAGTTTCTGAGCAAGCGCCGCTCGTTAAGTACTTAGCGAGCAACGTTTCTGGGCCGACAAAGCAAGCCACAACCAGTTTTTTCAACCTTTCATGTGCAATGACCGCAACGATGGCGTACAATCCGTGTAATTCATCTCGTAAAGTGCATCGTAAAAAGGCGAAGAGCTTACCATTGTACCCTACATTCGTATTTGCGCCGTCTGCTTAGCACCGGTAAGACCTTCCCATTGTCAGTCCGGCGCCGTTCTTTTGTCGAACGCGCTGACCCCACGTGACCAGTGACGTCAAGGGCGACGAAAGAGCGTCTCGCTCTGTGTTCTTGCTCGAACGGACCGAGAGAGCGAGGCTCGAACTAGGCTGCTGATGCGGGAGACGTCGGTTTCATCAGCGAACGATTTCGAGACCGTTCGGAGCCGGCTGGGTTGCGAGAATCCAACGCGTAATGAGCGTGGGCGCCCCGGCAATGTTCATGGCCCGTGACCGACGGCCGTGCGCCCCACTGCCGCCGGCGCCGGCGGCCATCCAGACTGCGCGGCGCGGTCACCTCGGTCGGCCCCAGCTTCGCTTACACAACCGACGTCGACACGGCTGTCAGGTCGCCGCTGGCGCGATCCCTGCCGCGCCAGAAGCCCGTCTTTGGAATGGCAAAATAAGCTTTGCATTGGTGCAGGTGCTCTCTGCAGAGCGAGGTGGATGTCATTGGGTGTACAGGATGCAACACGTAATGCACGATGCCGCCATGACATTGCAACCAATGGCAAAAACATATCTTACACATTTCGCAACCGGCAGGACACTGGGTAACGGTTGTTTAACCAGAGAGAGGAAAAGGAAAGGCGACTTGAGTCTTCAGAATCTCGGACAACAACAAAGCAAAAATTGTTTTGAATAGCTTTGGAGACAATGTAATTCAAGTTCATTCCAGGCTATATCGTAAGGACGTCGTAAATACGACACTGAATGACGCTTTTATGGTTTGGGAGTGTTCCTTCGTTATGCGATAGCAGTGGCTCAAAATACAATGGCAGGCAAGTGCTGTTAGAGATATTGAAGTTCATTCTCTTGCCACTTTGCCGCAACTACAGTAGAAAACTCCCAAAATCAAACTGCTAAAGAAGCTCACAAGGAGGCAGGTGCATTTGGTCGCGGCTGATCAAATCACGGGTGGGGCACAATGCTGAGATGTCGTAAACACACGCCATGCATGCATGTGGCCGTCGAGAATAGTGCCGGTAAGTGGATGAATATGCCTGCTGAATGATAACGGCTTGTGAATAAGCTAGCTGCATCACATTAAGCAGATTGAAGCATCTTCATTGCTCTCAGCTCATGAAAGCCCACGAAATATTGGAAGATCATGCATTTGTTTGCAGTAATTCCCTTGTATAACGCCTGTGAGATGACGAAATACTGTGCCAAAGACCCATAAGCTTGAATGGCTCAGTTTCAAATCGCAACAAAACTTCGTCACGTTTCAGCACCAAGCCGTTGGGAGCCTACAAGAATAAGCACGTGACTCTGACGCTTCCCAATGGCGTCACCATGGACAAGGTGCAGTGGGTTTCCGTCTGGTGCAAGGCCTACTCGGTGAGTACAGACTCCAGCAGAAATCCCCTCGAAGGAATACACGCTCGTCCGGTGCAAAGCTTGCGCGAGGAGTTAAACCTTTCAACCTGCATCTCAATTTCTTCCGAATGCCATGGTGTAACAACTGGCCACTTTTTTAAAATCATGGTTGGGTTCGAAAAAGCTTGGTTCAATAACATACTATGAAAGGCATGTCGTCAGCTCTCAATTAACTGGAATTTGATAAGTACTGCTGGAAAGTGATACATTGTTATAACGGTGCCTTTATCTTCAGGAACACGTCCTAGGAGAAACCGCAAAGTTGCAATCTCTCAGACTGCTGGATGTTTTAGAGCTGTGTGAATTTATCATTTTCATTATGTGATGGTAAATTAGCGGGCAGTTTTGGAACATCCAATCCCCTTAACCTTGCAGTCTAAATTTCATGTTTCCCAATTGTCATCAGCTAGCGGATGAGCATTTTGGCGCAAGCCCGTGTCTAAGGAAGTGCCAACCTAGCATCGGGACAGGGGTCAGCTGATGGCCACTTGTCATTGTTATTCTGATGACAAAGCCCGCCCGGCACCGGAACTACGCGTTTTCATACCGGTCTGGTCGGTCGCCTGAAGACGGACCGGGGACCCCT